ATAGGAGAACAAAATTCGCTCATACAGAATTATTTTTGTATTCATTTCCTAGGTCAAAAGGGAAATTTTTGATCCAGAAAATAAATGACTATTCTAAGCTCTGCTGTAGAAGATACCTGTACTTCACAACCTTCATTAATTGAACTCTCACACTGATCCTAGTTTGCATTTGGGGAGACAGGTGACTGCCCACACAGCGTGAGCTGAGTGGCATCCAAAGAGAGCCATTTGTGCCCACTCCCTACTTCTAGAGCCATTATTAAGTCACTTTTAGGCTAAGTAATTGTGTCTCCAGAAGGCAGACTCCTATTAACTGCAAAGCAGTCTCTCTTGAGATGAGTAACTCATTAGCACCCAATTAACAGATGAGTTTCTCAATTCACTGGCCCAGAACGAGGGATATAGGATGGAGATCTGTTACACTGGTGTTAGAGGTCTTTTTAGAACCTAACAAAGGCATGTGGTCTCTCTGGTAGATGTGGGAAGGATGATTAGGGCTCAGTCCTTTGAGGTCACCATTATTGGACATTACTGCTGCAGACTGTATTTTTCAAAAAGGATGTATGTATCCCATCCCATAGGCTCGGCTCCCAGGGGACTGATGCCCTGCCCACTGAGGGGCGGGGTCTGTTTTCACACCTCTTGAATCCTGGGCACCAGCCTGTGACTCTGCCCACTGGAGGAAAGTGGAAGCGATGCTAGAGACTTGAGAATCTAGGTGGAATACTGCTTCTGCCCAGTGTTCGGCCTCTCACTCCTTTCTCCATCGCCCTCTCAATATTCACTTTGGGAACCCAGATACCATGCAGTGAGGAAGCCCAAATTAGTTTAAGTAGGGACACAGGGAGAGGGGCAGACACCAGCCTCAGTCACCAGCCCGCATCCGCCACCAACCATGTGAATAAATGAGCCTTTAGAAAAGTCCAGCCCCCAGTGGAGGCCCAATTGTGGTGCAGAGACAAGCAAGTCATTCTCATTCCAGCTTTCATCTCTGGAATTCTGTGACGCTCTCCCTAAACATACATCTAGTTCCTGCTGGTCACGTGACCACCAGAGGTGAGGGTTGCATGTGTAGGTACTTGGCAAACACCATGGAATGAATGTGCCTGCTAGGCATTTCCACCCACCTGACAACAGCAACAAAGGGGGCGTCTTCACTTTCATCTTCTGGATGTGCCAGTCCTCGAGGGGCAGCCAGCCTGCATCACTAGTAGATAAATTATCTGATCCCCTGAGTGGAGTATGGTCAGTGACCCAGAAATGTTCTCTTTGTACAAATTCAGATGTCTTTAACTGTAAACAACAAAAAATCTTGGGTAAAAGTAACCTGAACAACAAGAAAAACTGATGATCTCATCTAAGCAGAAGCAGGGAGAGGGAGGAAGGCCTAGGATTGTTCATTTTGGGACTCATAATGGCACCAGTGCTCAGATTTTCATTAAGGAAAACTCCAGCGTGTACCTCCCGCCCCAGCTTTTATCTTCCATCTCATCTCAATGGTCAGATTTAGAGCTCGACCACACCTAAACCAATCACTGACAGGGAGTAGAATTACCATCACTTACACAAATCAGCCTTCACCTGAAAACTCCTTCAAATGCGCCAAACTGGGAGAACAGGGAAGAAAGGGAAAGTGTAGTGTAGCAGTTACTCTCAAAAACTCCCATCAATGAACACATGCAATTTTACCAAATAAATATTGGGTAGGATCAAACAATAAGAATGGAACAAAGAAAAAACAAGGATACATGAAATAGAACTTGAAATATCATTAAGTACCAGGACATCCTCTAGACTTGCTGAGCATAAATCAACAACCTAGGTTGAGTCATCAGAGCAGATGTCTCAGAAATTGCAAATGGTAACCTGTGGTCAAATGTGTCCATGGATATGTTCTGTTTGGGCCTTCATACTATTTGTTTTTTCAACTGGTTGGTTGCTGTTCTTAAAAATTGGGGTATTTCACATTGTTTTAAACTATCTCTGGTATCACATTTTTTTAAAAAGACTTATTTAGGGGGCCTCCCCGGCGGCGCAGCGGTTGAGCGCTGGGTTGCGAAGCTGCCCGCGGCCTCTGCGGCGCCGGTTCGATCTCCGGCTGCTCCCCGGCCACTGGAGGAGGGTCCCACATGGCTCGCAGACTTCTGCCGCCCGCTGCTCCCCTCAGCAGTGTACTTTGGTCCTTCTGCCTGCTCTGCTCCCCTCTCTTGCTCTGGTGAATTCTCTCACCCTCCCACGCTTCTGACTCTACCCAGTGCATGTACAAATAAACAAACAAACAAACAAATAAATAAAAAAATAAAAATACATGCCTCTTAAAAAAAAAAAAAAGACTTATTTATTTATGCATACAAGAACTGGGGTATAGGCCAGAGGTGTGGAGCATGAAAGGATTCACGAGAGTCAGAGAGGGGAGCAGAACAAGCGGATGACTGAAATACACTGTTGAGGGGAGCAGCGGGCGAGTCAGGAGAGGTCTGCCGTGCCATGTGTGTTGCTTCCTGGCCTGCTGAGGAATGGAACTCGCTCTGCAGTGACAGGTGATAGCTTGCTAGTGCTGTATTTAACCTCTGCACCACCAGAGAGGCCCCTCTCTGGTACCCCATTTTAAAAAATCAGAAGATACAGCAACACAATGGGCCTGCTTTCCCCTTTGCCCTGTGGCATCTCAGCTGGGTCTGATGCAGCCCACCCACCCCCACCAACCACACACCTACTCTCCAGTTTCCCCACGGGGCCTATGGACCTCTAAATGTGCAACACCAGTGATATTTCCAGCATCATTAGGATAGAAAGCACCCAGTTCCCCAGGAGAACATGAGTGTCTGATTCTAAGCCTGGACCGACCTCATAAGCGACCACTGTGGAATGTAATGACCACCCCACCTCATCCTCATTGTAGATCCCTTGAAGAGCCTCAAGAAATTGTTTTATTATAAAGCTTTTTACACAAATCAGACCAAAAATGGAGGGAGTAGGCATATGGGCAGAAAAGAGAGGGGCATGAATTCTTCTTGCCACTCAAGGATAATTTTCCAAGAGAAGGTTTCTAAAGGCACTTTCATTTGGAGGCGGCTGGATTTAATGTAGAAGAAGAATCTGTGCCCGCAGTTGAGATTAAAGAAATAGGAATCGGTTTGGAATTAAGACTAGATTTGGAGAAGGATTCTCACTCTGAGAACAATTTCACAATCTGTTGCCATTTTGATCCTCTGAATTTTTTTCACTCCACAGTTAAAGAGGTCTTGGATTGAAAGAGATACTTTCTTCTAATCCAGTTTTTCATAGCAGCCATATGTCTTCCGGTCAAGAAATGTTCACTGATTCCAGTAAGGGATTAAAAAATTTAAGACAGAATTTTTCAGTCATGTTGCTTTAAATATGAAACCCTTTCCCTTAAATCAGGTAAAGACGGCCACAAACAGATGTTCAGGCAGATGGGGCTTATCTGATTTCCTGTCCGTCTGCACCCCCACACTGCAGGCTCTCTGGAAAGGTTAGAAAATAACGACTCAGGAAGCCAAGAATGTGAATTATGTGACTTGCAGCCCGGATCTAGCCCATGTGTGGTTATTGTTCAACCCACCACAGCAGGCCTGGAAACAAAACGCCATCTTGCTTTATAAAATGGGATTTTTTGGTAATACATTTGTGTTTGTGAAGTAATCCATTCCAGAGAGACAGAGACAGACAGAAAGAATCAGAGCGATTAGACTCCAATCAGCTGGCTTGCCTTTGACTCCCTGCCTGACTCGCCTGCCTCTGACTGGCCAGCATACACTGCTTCACACTTACCCACCAACAGTCACCTACACGGTCACCATCTGAACGACGAAGAGCCTCTGTGGAACTGGGGCAGGAAGCCAATATACCAAGATGTTAGTTAAAGCAATTGGAAACCCATTATCACATTGCATGCTTCAGCAAGCTCTTTAACTGCAGAGAGGTGAGCACAGGCGCTGTCCTCACAGTGCAGCCAGTAGAGACAACTGCTGTCCACCTGGACCGTGAGCAGTGGGAGGGCCTCCTGACCTTCAGGAGGGACCGGCAGATCCAGGAGAGGAAAGACAGAGAAGCTCAAAGGTGAACTGAGACTGGGGTGGCCAAGATCAAACCTCATTCAGCTTGGGTTGACCAGAAAGTTCAGTCCCTCCCTTCTCTCACTTCTTTCTCTGTGCAGGGTAATTCAGCATATGCTTTTGAGGTTCATTTTGACAAGATATTGCTAAAGTAGAGATACTTGAGGAAGAGGAAAAAGTCCTCTGGTGGTGATAAAAAAGGCTATAAAAAAGATTTAGGACTCTGGAAGGAGACAGCCCAGCTTTGAAACTTGGCTTGTGTGATCACGGGTCACCTTTTAACTGCTTTTTGACTCAGTTTATCTCTTTGTACAAAGGCTATAATTATAGTCCCTAGAAGTATAGCAAAAAATTACTATAAAGACAAAAATGAGATTGTATGGGTAAATCAGGATGCAAAAAACTACACACAAAAAGACTCATATAATGTTAATTAATTCCTACTCTTACCTAGCCTGACCAACTCATCCCTGAAATGGACTTGAGTATGCACAAAAATAGCTGAAATTGACATGAAAATATAAAACGCATTCTTTTTAAAAAAAAATCATTTAATAACTTTTTTTGTCTTAGAAATAGGGTATAGGCCAGAGATGCAGTGGGGTGAGAGAATTCACCAGATCCAGAGTGGGGAGCAGAACAGCCAGATCTATTGAAATACACTGGTAAGGGGACCAGTAGGCAAGCTGCTGCGCCATGTGTGGGTTAGCTCTCAGGCCGGGGATTGAACTCAGGCCATAGTGGCGATAGTACGGAGACTTAATACCTAGGCCACCAGGAAGGCCACTAAAACACATTCTTGATTACATTCAGCAAAAACAAGAAGTCAAATGAGAGACTCTTTCCGACATATCTTAATAAAGTATTGAATGCTATACAAATTTCAGCCCACAAAATTGATTTCAAAAAGGTCTGGTTTTTATCGCTTCTCGGCCTTTTGGCTAAGATCAAGTGTAGTATCAAAAAGGTCTGGTTTTTTCAGCTGATGGAGGGAAAAATCAAGTCAGAAAGTATTTGAAATTGTGTTCCTACCACATGCCTACCATTGCAGAGGAAAAAAATGTAATAGCAATTACATAATTAGTACATTTTGTATACCAGTTACTGCCTACAAATTATCTTTATCCCATTCAATCCTTCAAGCTAATATTATCTCCACTTTAAAATGAGGGAAGTGAGACACAGAAGTTAAAGAACTTAGCCAAATTACACCATCAATAAAGGACTGAGCTGGAACTGGAACCCAATCTGTGTGATGATGACAGTGGTGAAGATGCTCGTATAGACTGAGTGCTTCCTCAATGTCAGGCCATGAGCAGCCTCCCCCTGCATTGCTCCATCCACTCAGCACACCACACTCTGCTGCAGGCTCTGGCTACTTTTATTATGCCCATTTTGCAAACAGAAAAGATTAAGTAATGAGTCTAAAGTCTCATAGCCATAGAGAGAAAGAGTCGGTATGAATTCTAGGTCAGGATGACTCCAAGGCCCAGCCCCATATTGCTGTGTGAACAACAGCAAGAGGCACAGCAGGTCACAATACGAAACTGCATAATTACAAGGACCCTCAGTTCACGTGGACAGCCTGGCTTCCCCCTTTCTTTGTACTACAGTGGTGATTAGCAGTCATCTTCTCCCAGGAAAATGACTTCAATGTTCCTCCTGAGAAGATAGTTCTTAACCTCTCATGGCATCCTAATAAACTCAAAGCCATGGGAAACAGTCTCTAAGAACATGTGACTAAAAGAACAAGAGACATTAGATTAGGATTTTGAGGGGCCTCCCTGGTGGCGCAAGGGCTTAAGCACTGCACTATGAAGCAATCTGCAGCCTCTGCAACACGAGTTCGATCCCCGGCAGCCAGGGAGCAACCCACATGGTGCAGCAGACCTCTCTTGTCTTGCCCACTGCTCCCCTCAGCAGTGTATTTCAGTCAATTTGCCTGTTCTGCTCCCCACTCTGTCTCTGGTGAATCCTCTCACCCCCCGCCCCTGTATCTCTGGCCTGTACCCCAGCTCTTGTATGCATTAAAAAAAAAAATCTTTAAAAAAATAATTAAATAAATAAATAAATTAGGATTTTGAAAGACTTTACAGTGGAACTTCGAGTGATTTTTTGGGAATTATAAGACCTGACAGCAGGTAAGTCTTATTGGTGGCACCTTCCTTAAGGGAATCATGGACCTCCAACTGTGTGACTTACCTCCAGAAAAACAGGTAAAAGGAAATAGTCAAATGTCAGGGGGGTTGCCCCTCCCCTCCCTTCTGGCCCAGCTCCTTATCAACCCCAATCTTTGGTTTTACGAATTAAAACACTTTATGAGAAGTGAGCAAGACAAATGTGTGATTGTCCTTTAGACGTGCTGCCTGATCCAATAGTCACAAGTCACAGGTGACTATTTAAAATCAGGTAAAATGTGAAGTGCCACCTCTCAGTCACACTAGACATATTGCAAGTATTTGGTAGCCACCGATGGCGGGTGGCTTTGATACAGACCCTGCAGATCTGGAACAATTCCATCATCACTGGCAGTTCGTTCTGTTGGCCCATTGATCTAGAGTCTCCACTTAGAGGAATCTGAAGGGCTTGGGGGCTTTTCCTGTGGTGGCTGTCTTAGGTTGGGTGTTCCCAGGAGCAGATTTGGGGGTAAGAACTCGAGTGTAAGTGGTTTATTTGAGAAGTACAGGAAGCACCAGCAACTAATAAGGCAACTAATATGCCTGCTTAAAGCTGTGAAGAAACAGAGATGCTGTAAAAGACATGTTTCGGAATTATCCCATCCCAAGAGAGGGAGTCAGGATGTTTGTACACCCCCGAGGATTACTTCCAGGGTTGTGAGTTTTCTAGCAGTTCTGGTCTACTTGCAGGTGGGCAGAGATCTCAGAGGTTGAGCTGCAGTGGGAGGAGTAGCCCTCAGGCTCAGAGGCAGAGACTAGTGGTGGAAGTTGACCAGTGCACCCCCAAATTCTGAGAGGAACAGGCACTGCACAACAGCAACTACTAAACAGATGCTTAAAGATCACTTTCGTCCCAGAATGTGCCTAGAACATTATGATCATGACCTTGATTTTGTGTCACTCTGAAGAGTGAGTGATCCAGCTCCTGCGGAAGCCACTGCTGAGGAATGTCAAGGAAGAAAAGGAACAAACTCACCGCTGCTTAGACGGTCGATTCTACAAAGTCTGAAGAGCCAGTTGGTGGGGAAATACAGAGATGTTATACACTGTACTTGGGGTGCTGGATTCTAGATGTGACTTTACCACAGAAGTTTCGAGGCTGACTAAACAACGAGGTGCCCTGGGTACCCCACTTGTGTGCGGACACACCCTGGCATGCAAGGGCTCGAGTTCACCACCATCACTAAGAGCAGGGGTTTGGGAGTGGAGAACACCGCTCTTGTTATTGGAAACAGGCTCAAGGATCTGGACACATGGACCACGGATGACAGCCCAGGAAGGTGGCAACCCCAGGCCTCCCTGCCTCGGGCCGCCATGCCGGGTGGGAGGGAGGTTGTTCCCACTGCCAGAGTGGATGTGAGCAGACACCTGGGAGGTGTAGGAGGAAGATTCCCGAACTGGGGAGAACTTGGAGAAAAGGACCCGACAAAGACAGACCCTGTGGCTCCGGTTTAACGCCCAGTTAGCCTCACTGCATTTTCCCAATAGCAGAAATTTTCTTACATTTTATAACAACTGGGAGTTCTTTGTTAAGGGTTTCTGGGAACCCCTCAGCCATCCAGGTAATATAATCATCACCATTAATATAGTTGTTCACTTTCTAATTGATGCTCTTTTAAACACTATACACTTATTAACTTGTTCCTTCCTTACCTGCCAAGCAAGGACGTTCATTACTATCTTCATTTTCACAAATGAAGAGACTGAAGCACCAAGAGATTAGGCAACTTGCCCAGGTCACTCTGCCAGTAAATGGCAGAGCTGGTGTGTGCACTTAAGAGGGAGTTGGGAGACTTCTGGCACATAGCACCCACCCCACCCTGTCTAGTCCTGCTGAGCTGGAGCGGGCAGCCTCTGCTCCCACAGAGGACAGGTTCCCCTCCAGAGCCGCAGGCCCTATTTTCCCTGACTCTTGCTGATGCCAGTTCCCCTGTCTCCTCCAGCCTCTTCTCAAGAACTTCCTGGACTGCTCCTTCCTACATTTTATTTTATTTTATTTTTTCTTTCAAGAGCTAGGGCATAGGCCAGAGATGCAGAGGTGAGAGGATTCACCAGAGACATAGTGGGGAGCACAACAGGTGGATTGACTGAAATACGCTGCTGAGGGGAGCAGCAGGTGAGACAGGAGAGGTCTGCTGCGCCATCTGGATTGCTCCCTGGCCAGGGATCAAACTAGTGCTGCGGTGGCTGTGGATGCTTCATAGTGCTGAGACCTAACCCTTTGCGCCACCCGAGAGGCCTTCTTCCCACATTTTAAATGAATGGTGAACAGTTCAATATCCTTTCCTCTACCCTTCGGGAGGCACTTAGTCCTTTTAAGAGTTATGTGCTGCGCTACATCCTGACCTGGACTAGGAGTCAGGGGTCTGGGTCTGACACACAGCACTGCTTTCCAGGTCTGCTTTCCACCTTTGGTGGCCCCAGCTTTGCACGTGAGAAAAGTAGGTGATCAGTGATTTTAATATAGGAAAGTGGTATTAGAATCAGGACTTCTTCCAGCTGTGTGGCCAGGATTTTCTTGATCACCTTTATCAGAATGTACCTGTCCTATGTCACCTTCCCTGGGGCTCTGCCTTCTAGAATGCAGAAAGCAAATGTGGCAGGTATCACCCCCACTCCCTGTGATTCCACGTGTGCCCACCCCCAGCTGAAATGGCTGCTGAAGTCTCCTCCAGCTGTAGAAGTATGTCTCATCCTTTTACAATGTTGGGTGAAAAAAGATTGTGAATCACTCTCTGTTCCAGATGATCTTTAAGATCTATGGCAGTGCTTCCATTCTATGAGACTATGATTGCTATAAAATGCTAGTGTGAACAGCTAAGTCACCTCCCTATGATTTATGCTGCAGAGGGAAGGATAAGATAATTAGCCTTGAAAGCAGTGGCATGGGTGGGGAAGTGGGGGTGGGGAGATATGCCAGTGATTCCTGTCATGAGTCAAAGAAACATTTTGCATCAGAGTCATCGGGAACTGCCCTGGGTTGTCTGGGGGTGTGTGTGAAGGGAGGGGGGGTGCATTTTCCAAGTCCCTGCAGAGGCATGTCTTAAGACTCATGTGATAACCCAAAGTAACTCTGGCCTCAAGAATTCTGCTCAAACAGGACTTTGCAAAGGACACTGTCCATGAAATTACTCCTTTCACACCATTGCCAAAATCTGTCTCTCTTCTCTGCTGCTATAGTCAACATAAGCACTTAGGCTGGAATGGAGGCAGATGGGAGCAGGGCCAGAGGGCACAAAAACCAAATAAGCTTCAGATTCTGCTCTCAGAAAGCTCTCGATCCATCCTATCTCCCCCAACGCCCTGCCCCACTCCCCAACCCACTTTTTTTTTTAAAGACTGATTTATTTATGCGTACAAGAACTGGGGTACAGGCCAGAGGTATGGAGCGTGAGAGGATTCACAAGAGACAGAGTGGGGAGCAGAACAGGCGGATTGACTGAAATACACTGCTGAGGGGAGCAGCAGGTGAGAAGGTTCACTAGGGACAGAGTGAGGAACAGATTTGACTGAAATACACTGCTGAAGAGAGCAGCGGGTGAGTCAGGGGAGGTCTGCTATGCCATGTGGGTAGCTCCCTGTGGGTAGCTCCTTGGCCAGGGATCGAACTTGTGCTGCAGAGGCTGTGGATAGCTTCATAGGTTGCATCTTAACCCCTTGCGCCACCAGGGAGGCCTCACCTAACACACTTTTAAATTGATGTTGAAAAAGAAAATTACTTGCCCCAATGGAGGTACTTGTGCTAAACCCACTGAGATTTAATACCTAATCTACTGCAATTTCGACACTTTCACCCCACCCGGCTGGCAGTTTCCGCCTCCCCCAGGAATGTAGCCCTGACTGGTCAGTATGGAATTTTCTAGTCAGCGTCAATGGAGTCACTTCTTCTGTTTCTTACAGGAAAATGAGATAATCTGTCACAGGAC